TGTAATGCCCCAGCTACATTTTCAAGGTTGATGCAGCTTACACTAGGTTAACTTAACTGGGCCAAATGTCTGTGTTATTTAGATGATGTGATCGTTTTTGGCAGTACATTTGAAATAGCTAGGAGCAATCTAAAAGAGGTATTTCAATGTTTTAGAAATGCTAACCTGAAGCTTAAACCCAAGAAATGCTTTCTGTTTCAAACCGAGGTGTCCTTTTTAGGTCATGTTGTCTCAGATTCTGGAATAAGCTGTGACCCCAATAAGGTCAAGGCCGTACGCGAGTGGCATGTACCTGGCAATATCAGTGAGGTTAGAAGTTTTCTGGGTATAGCAGGCTATTATCGTAGGTTCGTTCTTGACTTTTCCTCTATTGCCTCCCCTTTGACAAAATTGACCAGGAAGAACAAGCATTTTGTGTGGGATTCTGAGTGTGAGCTATCATTTTCCAAGCTTAAAGAGCTGCTTACTAGTGCCCCAATATTAGGTTACCCCAACAGTACAGGGCCTTTCATTATAGATACTGACGCAAGTCTGACAGGGTTAGGGGCTGTTCTATCCCAAGTACAGAATGGGCAGGTAAATGTTATAGCTTATGCCAGCAGAACTCTGAGCCGTTCCCAGCAAAAGTATAGTACAACATACAGGGAATTACTAGCGGTTGTGACATTTGTCAAGTTTTTCAAGCACTTTCTATGGGGCAGACCTTTCCTGGTTCGCACTGACCACGCCTCACTGGTGTGGCTGAAATTTTTTAAAGATGTTGAAGGAATGCTAGCTTAGTGTACTTGACATGTTTGACATGAGAATAGAGCATAGGTCTGGTAGTCAGCACATGAATGCTGATAGCTTATCCCGTGTTGCAAGTCACAAGCGTAAGCGTGAAACATGCCCTTCCTGTTTTCTTCAAGAGCAGAATCCTCACCAAGGCTTGAGTAAGTCTGAAGAGGTCAAAGTTCACCAAATCTTTGATAAGACTGATGAGGGTTCTCTAAACTCCTGGCTACAAGCATGGGAAATAAAACACTAGTAAAGGGGCAAAGGGAAGACCCAGTAATAGGTCCATTCTTGAAACTTAAGACTGAAAACTCTCAAAAACCACCGAAAGCTGACGTACATGCATTTCCACCAGAAGTTATCTCCCTTTATCATATGTGGGAACTCCTTCATATTGAGAAGGATGGTATTTTATATAGAATAAAACCCTCCACACATCCTGGGAAGTGAAGCAAACAAATCCTAGCTCCAACTTGTGTTAGAAAGGAAATCTTACAACATCTTCACAATTCAATGACATCTGGTCACTTAGGGAGAGATAGGACACTTGAGGCAGTACAGAGGCGTTTTTATTGGCCAGGTCTTACAGAAGACATGAAAAACTGGTGTAGGGCTTGTGACATGTGTGCTAAGAGAAAATCAAATCCCCATGCGGGTAGATCTCCTTTACATCCATCCGAGGCAGTGTCAGGTCCCTTGGAGAGAATGGCTATAGATATTATGGGTAGGATACCGACCACAGCAAACGGGAATAGCTACATCATAGTTGTAAGTGACTATTTATCAAAGTGGACAGAGGCTTATGCAGTGCCAAACCACACAGCTTTGACCGTCGCAGACAAGTTGATCACTGAATTTATTTTTGTCGGTTTGGGGCCCCTCGTTATATCCACTCTGATCAGGGGAGGGAATTTGAATCGGATTTGTTTCAAATCATTTGTACAAAGTTGGGTGTAAAGAAAACCAGAACAACCCCTTATAGACCTGAATCTGACGGTCAAGTCGAAAGATTTAATCGTACACTGGTACAGATGCTTTCCTCCTTTGTGAATCAACAAATGGATGATTGGGATGACCACTTACCCTATGTAATGATGGCCTATAGATCCAGCAGGAATAGCAGTACAGAGTGTACCCCTAATTTAGTCATGCTAGGTAGGGAGACATATTGTCCCTTGGATATGATGGTTGGGTTACCCCCAGATTCTCAGGAAATATGTACAGTTCAGTACGTATACTGGGTACAGGAAGCTATGAGGTCTGCTCGTTAGTTTGTATTTGGGAAACTAAGCGTCAGAAAGCTTACTATGATAGGGACGTGAAAGAAAGGGAATTCTCAGAAGGCAGTTTTGTCTGGAGATGGTATCCCCCAGCTATCAGTAACAAATTGGGCCAAGGGTGGACAGGGCCTTATAAAGTGGTTAGGAAGTTGTCAGATGTTAATTATGAGATTAAGAAAAGTCCTCAAGCAAAACCTATAGCTGTACATGCAGATCATCTAAAACAATATCAGGGTATTAATACTCCAGAGCTCTGGGTTGGGTCAGACTCTGATAGCTCCCCAGAATATTGTTCTGAAAGGGTATTCCAGCCAGCACCTTCAGTCAGCGATCCAAGGGAGATAATATAACTCCACGGTCCACCAGAACAGGTAGATGGATAGTTCCCCCACAAAAGTACAGTCCTTAAAAATAAGGGGGATACATTTGTTATGTCAGTTACTATACTACAATTGGAATGGGGGAATAAATTTGGCCTATTTTACCTTTTGGTGTAAGCATTCTAAAATGCTGGCCATTATACATTTGGTGGTAAAGCATCTTGGTCATGCTGACTCTGTTTTTTTGGAACTTACAGCAAGATGACAGACTATCTACAAATAGATGTGGAGGAGGGGGATTTCCTCTACCTAGATGGGGACCTTGAAGACAGGCCTGTATGACCCCTGAAGGCATGGAGTGTCCTGTGGCAGCCTGTGGGAACAAGAGGTACCCCAGGTACAACCAGCTGGCCAGACACTGGGCACTAACCCATTTGGAATACACTGACTTATTCCGGTGCCCCTTGTGTACCTTCACCACCACTAGGAGGAACCAGGTGCGAAGGCACCTGGTCACCCGCCACAGAAGAACACAGGCTGAGGCCATGTCCTTGATCGGCCTACATCAGGGTGGGTCGACACAGCGGAACACCAGGTACATCAGTCCTGGGGGGCAGAGGATGCCACGCCGAGGTGTTACCCCGAGAGCACAGGAGCTGCGGAGGGAGGCAGAACTATCCAGATACCTGGAGGCTGAGGGAAACACAGCCATGGATTTGGGAAGAACCGCCATAATTTCCCGGGATCAGGAGGTCACACCTGACGGGATAATTCGCGATAGTGCGCGATGGTATCGGAACGCGGACGCGGGATCGCGGTACACCCCACAGGATGTAGACTTTTCCTTATTTCCAGAGCACACAGAATGAACTTATTTTTTTACTAGTGTGTGAGGGGTGGTGGACAAATTTTACATGTACTTGTAAATATTCATTGTACATTGACATCATTACTCTTTCTGTTATAATTTTTCATGTTTCTAGGAATTATTTTTGGTATTAAGTTGCTGTTCACATTTCTAGCATGTGTAGTAAGGAGCCATGAAAATGCTGTCCACTTATGTGGAGGGGTAATGTGTATTTTTGGTGAGGAATGGAGATATATCGGAATTGATTTTGTTTTTCATGTGCTGTTACTTTAGTGTAAGCAGCCTAATACTTAAGTATTTGGGGCTGATCACAGTTCACCTGCTGTGTATAACACTACATGTAAAGATAAATATCAGGGTCTTATACAGAAGACAAGGTCCGAAAGATAATTCCATAACCAAGAAATATACATGTAGGTCTTTGGATCTAGAGCATTTGGCTTGTGGGCTGCACATCTGGTAATATTTGTGAATGGTTTTCTTTCTATGATAATGCTTTTTTCTATGATGTAAGTGTTTACCTATGAGTGTACTTTTAATGTGGGTTGATTAACCGGTATTAAGGTTTGTTTTGTTACAAGATGATTACATTGTCATTGTTGCTAAATCACCTTGTGATGCTGTTGTCATGGTACAACTGCTGTAATGATTGTAAACTTTCTTTTTTTTTCGAATGTACTCGAACCATGGACGCATGGTTTCATCTAATGATGTATGATTTTGTGTTTCAAAACGATTGGATGGTGGTTCATACCAAATGAGGACATTTGTCTCTTTTTAAGGGAAGGCGAATGTAAAAGGATTGGGCTTTGAACACTTACTTGTTGTACATATTTCCGTAATTACGTTTCGTGTAACGGAGTGCGTGAACCTGGGGTATTCCCGTTGGGGATTCTCTTCTGGTATATTATTTAGACGTTTCTGATTGGTTAATATTTTTAGGATATGTTACCTTACCTGTACAGCACTCTACGCTCAGGTATGGGTCAGGATCGAGTTCAAATACTACATTGCACGTGTATTTCAAATACTACATGGCACGTGCATTTCAAGGCATACAATTAAATTTGGCTATATAGCTGGGTGTTTTTGGTATTGTAAATCAGTCTGGCAGAGGCTTACATGTAGCTGGCCGGCTCGTCTTTACCCTTCTTACGGGCAGGTATGTAGGAGTGTATTTCGGCCTTAGACCTCAAAATTATTCCAGGCTGGGTGGTATTTTCCCATTGTAGGCATGTTTGGGTAGAATTATCTCGGTGTTAATTTGGGATGGTTATTTTCCCGTTGTAGGCATGTTGTAATATATTATCGGGGTGTGGTTAAACTTATTCCCAGGGGTGGGATACCGGGTGGACATTTTTGAGAGGACATTTGTTACACGGTATACTGTTTTAGTATGGACCGGTCGCGTGGTTAACGTGCTGTAGCATTGTGCATATCTATTCATCATGTTTCATCTTATTTACTTCACTGTTTCGTTTGGTACATAATAAATTGTAGAACTTTATAAAACGTGTTATCATTCATTGACCTGTAACAGCCAGCTGAAGTTAAGTCAGGACGGAACCACAGAGTTGACGAACGAAAAAATCACTATACGAGGGCAAAACTTTTACACCTTTTTGTAACTTTTAAGTACTAGATTGAAACACTCATGGTTCCAATCTAGCATCAAAAGATATAACTTGTTTTCGGTATGGGAACATGCAGTTAAATCTGTTCATAATATATCAATATCTGTTTTGCTTAATATCTTACCTTTTTGCACCAATATTTAATGAAAGTCATCTACGGGCTGTTCTACCTTGAAACACAAGGGTGTTAAAAAGTTCACTGTCTGCGAGACTGGGATCTGTTGACAAATACTGCTGTGCACCACGAAGGCCTGTCTCACTCGAGCTCGTCCCCATGTAACGAACCACGCGAGTGCCGGGCCCCCATACCTGTAGGTGAAAGCCAGCTACAATCTGGGCATCCCTCCCTTCCAGTCCATGTAACACAACATATGATGTAAATTCTTGTAAAAAATTGGATGGATCCTCATGAGCATAGCTATGAAAAGTTTGTAAAGGTCTGGCAAAAAATTGCATGTTCCCGCCGTTTGCAGCCGCCAGATTCAATATCCCAATTTTTCATAAAATTGTAGTCAACTGACGAGGAATTCATCCTTCGCGAAAAAAATACAGTTCAATATGTCCGTTTACCTTTAGCTGGTTTTATGAATTGGATTCTCGACCATGTTCCGGTTTTATGTTGAAATAACCAACTCGAAACGTGTCTAACATGTGCTCCTTTTTAATCCTTTCTTACTCTTTCAAATTTGCCTCCTCACAAGAGTTACAATCAACAAATAACACATATTTTGGAGTTACTTCCCCTTACACAGTATCTACAAAAGACGTAGGCCTAAAGGAAAAGTAGATATGAATAAACCGTGGTTCGATAAATATTGTAAGTTAAAAAGAATTGCCTTCAACAAGATGAAGAATAAATATAAAACAGACAAGTCGTGAACTAGGAAACAACTTCGAATAAGTTATAAAAAAAATCAAGAAAGATGTATTCTTCGCTTGTTATCTAAATCTAATCCAAAATAATTTTAGAATACCGTAAATAAATATTCTTCAAATAAAAAGAAAAATACAGATACACCAATAGATACATGGTATCGTTATTTTATGTCATTAAATGCAAACGATGATGACGATAATGTGGCAGGGTTAAAATCTTAAGAGTGTATATAGTAAGTTTTAATCCTAAGTGTTGTATTATTTTATTAGCATCATCATCAGCACATCATTTTACCTTTCACCAAGCACAATGTGTTATCCAAGTATTGTCCATGTATATGTCATTGTGTGTGTATTTACCTGTAGCTAAAGTGATCTGAAAGGTGCGTGTGTGAGTGGTGGTGAGCCCACTTTACCTGTATAGGTATATACAGGTAAGCATATACACCTTCTAGCTAATTGATCACCTGACATAAGATGATGATACCATTGGTTGAGATATTGAAAGCAACATGTTTTTATTGGTCCTCATTTTCCCTCCATTTTTTGTCTGTAAGAAAGATTTCTTTGTGTGATTTGGCACTTTCGAGTCAGATCTTGGAGAAGCCACTTGGGCTTACTATTCTACTACTTTTTGCTGAACCTGGACATGGCTTCATACTCCTGTAAGTTTCTATTTGTTCTTCTCTATTAACATGTAGTTTGTATAATGTTGTAAAATATGATTGCTACCTTTTGAATGTACTTGAGTCTGACAAAATGTTGGAAGACTAAAAGTCGAATTTAAAGTAATGCAAATCTGTTGTAAAAAGTTAAACGGCTTGAACATAAAACTATTTTCATGCATTTATTGTATATCTGCAGTAACTGAGATTGATAAGATATCTTGGTACATTTATTGGTTTTATTTTGGTGAAGATGTTTTAAGAGTAATTAGAACCATTGTAACATGTAGTATTTTATTTATGCATAGGACCCTGGGTCGAGTGAACATTGATTACAATTGGAAGAGTCTAGGAATTCGGCCCATAGCCAGGTACACATATATTTGGGTGACGGCGTCATCGGTGATGTCTTATGGCGGTATCTTTTGCCGCACCTTCACTAAAATAATATTTTATGAAACAATAAATGTATTGAAATCTTGATCAAAGATAAAAAATTAAATTCCGGCATCCTGATAAAGGTTAGCCAATTACGCCAATACCATTGTCTGTGTGTTATCTATTATTTAAGTGAACAGAGCTTCATTGCATGTTATGAATTAAGGCTAGCATGGTGCTAGGTAGCTATGAAATAATGCTTAATCTGTCCATGTGTAATCTACTCTCTCTGTCATGTTTTATTTTGATTGATGTTATTTTGTTTGACCTCTTGTTACACACTTTGTGTGTCAGAGCGTAATAAAAAAAATCTTGAAAATCTTGATGCTGCAGTGAGTTCTTGGAAGGATTTTGGTGGTACAAAAATTAAAGTATATATTTATATATACAATTTTTTGGTTGATGAAATTATTCCGTATGTTTTTTTTATAGATTTTGATTCCGTATTTTGTGACATCAGTTCTCAATATTTATGTAAGTTAAAGATATGCCAAGGCCAGCTGCCATTGGTTAAAATGGATCAAGGTTAATGCCCATTGGTCAGAGGTAGCAACGAGAGCCCCGTGGGGTGGAAGCTGATAAACCCCTCACTCTCGCTGCTGTATCAAGACGCCATATTGGTTTGAGAAAAAATTGTGAAAACTTAAATTGATCCTTCCCTCCTCCCCTTTCAGCTACCTTGCAATTTTTAATCATCTAAATGTCATGCAGCTATTTTTTCAAAAAATGATTACAATATAGTCTACTTATCGTGTTATGTCATTTGTCAATGAACTTGTTTTGAAAGTTTTAATAGAACGTTTATATTTGTTATTAATTGTAATATTGATTATATAAAGAACAAAGTTTTGTCCGTCATATTTGTATGCCCGGTTTATCTTCAGATGTTAGGTTTGTTTATGTGCAGCGTCAATATCCCAGGTGTTATTGGTGATAACTAAGTGAGTAAACACTTACCAGCTGGCCTGAGCATGATAAAATCCTACCTCCCCCTTACTGGTAAGGGGTTGGGACAGCGCACTTTGGACATTGCGTTGTTACTTACATGTAATTGTCTTAAGTTAATGAGGGGCGGTATCTTTTGCCGCACCTTCACTAAAATAATATTTTATGAAACAATAAATGTATTGAAATCTTCATCAAAGATAAAAAATTAAATTCCGGCATCCTGATAAAGGTTAGCCAATTACGCCAATACCATTGTCTGTGTGTTATCTATTATTTAAGTGAACAGAGCTTCATTGCATGTTATGAATTAAGGCTAGCATGGTGCTAGGTAGCTGATGCTGCAGTGAGTTCTTGGAAGGATTTCGGAGGTACAAAAATATCTATATGTTATGGCGAAGTTTGTATTTTGAGTATCATTCCAAGTTAATGCTAAATGTAATGCTGAGGGTAGATTATCTCCCCTTAAACTGTATCGATCCAAGATTTATTAAGTGTAAATATATATCTTGTGTAAAGGTTAGTAAATCTAACATATTGTGTATTGTTAGAATGATATGGTTTCATAGATTATTTGAAGTAACATTGAATAAATAGGGTCATATGTATGTATGTATGTATGTATGTATGTATGTATGTATGTATGTATGTATGTATGTATGTATGTATGTATGTATGTATGT